GCTGTCAGATGGCCATCTAGCCTCTGCTTGAAAACCTCCTCCAAAGAAGGAGAGCCCACCACCTCCCAAGGAAGCCTGTTCCACTGAGGAACCGCTCGTTCCAGCTTGTCTATATCCTTCTTAAACTGTGGTGCCCAAAACTGAACACAATACTCTAGGTGAGGTCTAACCAGAGCAGAGCAAAGCGATACCATCACATCTCGTCATCTGGACACTATACTTCTGTTGAAACAACCCAAAATCACATTTGCCTTTTTAGCAACCGCATCACACTGCTGACTCATGTTCAGTGTATGGTCTACTAAGACCCTTAGATCCTTTTCGCACATACTACCGCCAAGACAAGTCTCCCCCAACCTATAATTATGCATTTGATTTTTCTTACCTAAATGCAGAGCTTTACATTTATCTCCACTGAAATTCATTCCATTTGTTTTAGCTCAGTTTTCCAACCTATTAAGGTCACAGGGGTGGAAACTAGTCAGAGGGTCAAAAATACTGATTTTACTGACCAAAGTTTTAAAAAAAACAACCCCAAATACTGACAAAAAACTTTAATGTCAACCTACTGATAAGCTAGCATTTTAAATGTAAAACTAGGATTTCATTAAAAATCATTATCTGGCCTCTACTATCCCCATAGCCAGCCCCATAGTTAGATGTGACCCAGATAAAAGGATAGCATACCTTTTTATTGATTTTTTTTATGAATAAAGGTCAATGTTTTCATTATTGTACAAAATTTTAGGCAAAAAAAGATTCCCTTTTAAAAATAATCATATAAAACCAAACATAAAGTAGTAATTATGACAACAAAACATAATTACTGTAAGGTGAGACTTGCCTTTGCTTTTACTTTATCTTTGGTTTTTTGATGAAAAAAGAACTGGCCAGCATCCTGCCATCTCTGGTGGAGGTCGTGTCGGGCTGGGCACTGGAACACCCTAGACTGATTATCCTGCGTGATTTCAATGTCCATGCGGATGATGTGGCCTCCACTCAGGCGATGGACCTAGAGTCACCCGTGGTGGCACTAGGACTCTCCCAATATGTAATGACTCCCACTCACCGGGCCGGACACACGCTCAATCTGATTTCAGCTCGCCCGCGGAGCCAAATTGACCTTATGTAGCTTCAAATGGCCCTGCGGGATCCGATGCCCCCTGGCAGCTCGTTAGATGAGCTTGTGGAGGATTGGCACAGCTGACTCTCAGCGGTCATCGATGAGATCCCTCCCCAATGCCCTCTGCGCCCTCACTCTTGGCTGGCTCCTTGGTTTACCCAGGAGCTGTGGCTGATGAAGCAAAGGCTAAGATGGCTAGAGAGACAGTAGCAGTGCGCTTATAGGACGTTTATGAGATCCTACGAGATGGTACTCAAAGCCACTGAGAGTACTATGCGGCCATGACTGCATCTGCGAGCTCATGCCCAGCCCAATTATTTAGAATAATTCGGTCTATGACTGTTCTGCCACAAGGCAGACCAAATGTTAGGGAACTGGACACTGGCTGTGAGGCCTCTGTGAGCTACTTTGCAGATAAAAGTCCACCATGTCCTCCCCACCACAGTTGAGACAGTGAACTCGAGGCTCCATGCACGTCCTAGTCAGGTTATGGATTATTTCAGTCCACTCAGCCTGGAGGAAGTTGACAAACTGCTCTTAATGGTATGCCCTACCATGTGCTGCCTTGACCTGTGCCCATCATGGCTAATTAAAGCTGGCCATGATGGGTTTTGAGATGCCCTAAGGGAGATTATTAACAAGTCCCTCTCGGAAGGACAGTTCCCTAGGGCATTCAAGGAAGCTGTGGTCCGTCCCCTCCTGAAAAAGCCATCTCTGGATCTGGCTGAATTGGCTAATTACTGGCCAGTCTCCAATCTGCCCTATTTGGGCAAAATAATTGAGAGGGCTGTGGCAATTCAGCTACAGAGCTTTCTGGACGACACTTCCATTCTAGACGACACTGGTTGCCCTCACAGATGACCTCTAGAGGCATCTGGATCAGGGCAGATTGGCAGTGATGTTGCTGTTGGACCTGTTGGCGGCGTTCAACACGGTCAACCATCAGTTAATGATCCACCACCTTGCCGACACTGGAGTCCAGGGGCCTGCCTTGCAATGGCTGGCTTCCTTCCTTCAGGGTCAGGGACAAAGGGTGGCGCTAGGGGAGCAGTTATCCCAAAGGCACCCACTGATTTTTGAAGTGCCCCAAGGGGCGGTGCTGTCCTCAATTTTATCTAACATCTACATGAGTCCCCTTGCCCAGATTGCCCGAAGGCATGGGCTGGGATGTCACCAGTATGCAGATGACACCCAGCTCTATCTGTTGTTGGGCAGCCAGTCTGACTCTACACCGGAAGATCTGGACTGACTGCTGCAAGCCGTAGATGGTTGGCTCAGATTGAGCCAAATGAAATTGAATCTGACGAAGACAGAGGTCCTTTGCCTGAGCAGGGGTGGCCCAAGGGTAGGGATCCCACTCCCAACCTTCAATGGGGCCACTGGTGCCAGTGCCAGAGGTCAAGAGCTTGGGAGTGCTCCTGGATGCCTCACTAACAATGGGGGCCCAGGTAGCAGCCACTGCCAAGTCAGCCTCTTACCACTTCTGGCTGATCAGGCAGTTGGTTCCCTTCCTCGAATGCAAGGACTTGGTGACAGTGATCCACGCGATGGTCACCTCAAGACTGGACTACTGTAATGCTCTCTACATGGGGCTGCCCTTGACCCAAATCCAGAAGACAGCTCGTGCAAAATGCTGCAGGCAGGCTTCTGATGGGCCTTCCTATGCGAGAGCACATCCAGACTGTGCTGAAAGCACTGCACTGGCTGCCGACAGGATACCGAATTCGCTTCAAGGTGCTGGTTCTTACCTTTAAAGCCCTTTATGGTCAGGGGCCCACATATATGTATGTTTTATATGTTTTAATGTGGTTTTAATTGTATTGAATTTTATATTGTTGGACTGTATTTATATTGTTGGAACCTGCCCTGAGCCTGTCAAGGGGAGGGCGGGATATAAATCCAAATAAACATAAACAAACAAACATACCTGAGGGAACACCTTTCCCCACACATTCCCCAGAGAGCACTGCGCTCAGGGTCACAAAATCGATGGGCCTTCCGAGGTCCTAAAGATGCCAGGCTGGCCACAACCAGGGCCAGGGCCTTCTCAGTGGTGGATCCATACTGGTGGAATGAGCTCCCAGAAGAGATCGGGCCCTCGGGACCTCTAACAGTTCTGCAGGGCCCGCAAGATGGAGCTCTTCCACCAGGCCTTCGACTAAAGAGCCGCACCAAATAACATCAAATAACTGAGAAGTGACAGTGCCCTGGTCTTGGCTTACCACCCACAGCCTGTGCTGTTGCCTAAATATAGAGACCAAGATGAGCCAATAGATAATCTGATTACAACACTAGCATTGGTTCCGCCTTCTGTAAGCATTGTTATAAGTACTGGATCACTTACTAGCACTTTATGATAATGTAGAGCTTTATTTGTTTTAAGATTGTATATAATTAGTTACCTATATGTTTAATCTCTTTGTAAGTCGCCCTGAGCCCGCTCCAGCAGGGAGGGCGGGGTATAAATTGAATAAATAAATAAATAAGGTTATTCACGAACTCTTTCATTTCTCAACAGTTTTCTGCACTGCATCCACAAGTATTTTTTCCCCTTGTCCTCTTCTTCCATTACTTTCTCAACTCCTTCTAGCATGAGCTGTGCCATTTGAAGTCCACAATATCCATCATCTCTACTTTCATTGTCTCATGTTTTAAGAGGTTAATTATGTTTCTATACTTTGTGGAAGATTTTACTCTTTTTGTTCTTAGGAACCATTTTTACTCTTAGGAAGATTTTACTCTTTTACTCTTAGGAACCAAGTCCTTAAAGTACTTCATAACTAAACTGAAAACAATCTGTCTTCTCACTGGGAAGTCATCGTGTTTCCCCAAAAATTGAATAATGAAAGCAGAAAAAACACAAACCGCATTCACAAAAATCACAGAAAGACTGACTTTACTGACCAATTTTTTACCAAGATGAAAAAACTGACTTTTACTGATTTTACTGACCATTTTCCACCCCTGCCAGGTCATCCTGTATCCTGACTCTGTCTTCTACCGTGTTTGCTACTCCTCCCCAGTTTAGTATCATCTGGTCAGTAAAATGAGTAAAAATCAGTTTTTTCATCTTGGTCAGTAATTTGTCAGTTTTTTAAAAAAAAATTGGTCAGTCAAGTCAGCCAAGATCAAACCCTCAAAAGCGGCCGGGCCAGCCCTCAAAAACATTTGGCTCTGCATCCGCGGCAGCTGAAGAGACCACCCTTTTCCAGGTTTCAGAATGCCCCTCCATTACAAGGAGAGGAGGAGGATGTTTTCGCAGCACGGCTATCAAGAAGGTGTTGGAGGGGGGTGATGATGATATACAAAACTGTCTAGCACGGATGATGGGAAGGTGACTTAAAAGGGTCACGATCACAGAGGCTCTGTTTCGACCAAGAGAACAGAGCTCACGTAATGGCAGGGAATTTTGTTTTCAAGAGCAAGGATATTCCATCATCGGATGTGCCCCATGGCACTCAGGGAGAGGGAACTTATCCCCCTCCCCCCCCAACCAGTGCCACTTTCCCAACCTGAAATGGCACCAGAGGGTGTAATTTGCCAATTAGGGAAAACTCTGTACACCCCTAAGAGGCCCCACCCCCATCACTTCAGGTCAGGAAGATAAGCCCCTTCTTCCTCCCACGTGCCACAAACCCAATGTGAGTCAGACCCCTGCCATGATGGAAATGGAATTCCCAAGGGGGAAACAGACCTAACAGAAACTCCTCACGGTCAACCCAGACATGACCCAAAGACCTTGCCATGTAGACAAAAGGGGGGGGGCATGGTGTAAGCCAGGAATGTGCAAGAGACTGTTGCAGAACACACTTACTGCCGTCTCAAAGCAAGATTCCTCTGACAGGCAGAGACGCGTGCGTGATGGCGGACACCTTACCTTCAACACCAAGGCCACAGTCATGATAGCTGCACAGACCGCCATGCCTCCCAAGCCAACCAGGTGGAGTGTCCGGCGTCCTGCACGCTCCACCAGAAAGAGCTGTGAAATTTAAAAAAACAAAACAAGAAGTGCTTTTGGAAGTGGAATCTACACAGCAAGGCTCCTCCCTTTCCCTGCCAATGCCTCTGCGAATGCTCTGGGCACACAGGCGCTCTGGGCACACCTTCCTCAGGCAGCTGCCCCTGCCCCTGCACTTCACACACACACACACACCCACACACACCTACTGAGACACAGCAGAAAGGGCTAGAGACTCTCTTTTTGGAAGAGAGACACACTCAGAGGCAATAGACAGTAACTGTTACTACGCTATTTTTAAAAAGCCCTCCCGTGGTACAGCAGGGAAAAAGGCATTATGTGGGCGAGACCTTCAAAGATGCACAACAACAGGGGCAGGGAAAGCCTGGGAAGTGGACATCTGAAGAAACACCTGCTGGAGTTTGAACGCCAAGGCGGGGGGGGGGGGGGAGGGCGGCCCGACTCGCGGGGGAGTGCTGCTGCTGCTGCCGCCAGAATTCAGGCAGGTTGCCCCGGATGCCCATCAGAAGGAGCGGCACCCTCCCCCCTCACGTCTGGAGCTGGAAGCTCAGGACCCCCGCCCCTTCACAGCCGCCGGAGCTGCCCTGCTTGAGTGTCTGAGAAGGACAGGCAGCAGGGGACCACCCTCCAACATGCAAATCTCAAGCTACGGTGGTATTCTAGAGACAAAGCATCCTTAGAACGCACTACTTTTCGCCTCTGGAATTTTATTCATCTTCAAGACGTGGCTGAGGATCTGCACCTCGCCTGAAACCCCCCCCACACACACACCTTAAAGGGTCCCCCCCATCTGGAGCTGGAATCTCAGGACCCCCGCCCCTTCACGGTTGCCGGAGCTGCCCTGCTTGGGTGTCTGAGAAGGACGGGCAGCGGGGGACCACCCTCCAACATGCAGTCACCTACGGTGGTATTCTAGAGACAAAGCATCCTTAGAACGCACTACTTTTCGCCTCTGGAATTTTATTCATCTTCGAGACGTGGCTGAGGATCTGCACCTCAACTGAAACCCCCCCACACACACACACCTGAAAGGGTCCCCCCCAAGTACGATACCTTGTGATTTCAAAAAGACTTACCGACACAACTGTAAAGACAGTGTTGACCACGCCAGCCCCAATGGTTGCATAGACGGGCTCCTTGACTCCAGCATCTCTGAAGATCCCCGTAGAATAGTAGAACACCTAGAGGCAGAGGAACCACTTGAACCAGTGCTCAGTCAAAAACAGGCGCAAACTGCATTTGGCCGGAACATTTCAATCAGCTGTTACATATAACAAAGTGAGGATGATGACAGACAGCCAATCGGAGGCAGTAGAAAGATTTAGACCAGGGGAAGCCCCCGTCTGTCCCCAGCCAACCCCCCTCTGGGCCTGCCCTCCACTCCCCGGGCTGCTGCTGCTGCTGAGTGTGAAATGGGAGATCCGGCCCCAGGTGCTGCCTTCCGCTCCTTGGAGAAAGGGCAGGCGAAAGGCTGAAGCGATACCGCTGTTGAAGGCAGCGCCTCGTCCCAAGCTGGCCCACTGACTGAGAATAAACGGGCAGACGAGCCCCAATGGCCACGTGCTCTGAAGAAATCCGCAGGCGAGCCTGTTCTCAGCACGCAGGCAAAAAGGCAGCCAGGCCAGCTCTGCAAAGAGGCCCGGGGGGGGGGGGGGCAGAAAAGGAAGAGTTGCTCGGTGCTTCCGAAAGAATTAGTCACATGGCACCTAAAGGTGGACCTGCTCGTGCCTTCCTACGCAGCTGGCCCTCTCTTGGCATGATAAGAAACAAGCTCAACTGCTGTGAAACCAAAGCCATGGCTGGGAGGGGGTTGAATGAGACGCCCGAGAATGAGACTGGCCAGGCCCCCACCAACACCAACTTCACCTGGCCCTGCTGCTCACGGGCCTGGAACACCAACGCACCCCCCCACACACACAGCCCCACGAAGTGCAGCGGGCAAAGCTTGCCCCCATTCCTGTCCTGATCCCAAGATCCTTTGCAAAATGAGCGCTCGTTTGGCTACTGCTGATGGCCACGCCGGCAATCCGTGTACTTGTGCAGTGTACACACCTCTGATGACAGACGACAGCTTCCAGATCTCACTGGATTCCTACTGGATTCCTCTGTCTCACGAAATGCAGCACCACCCCCTGCTCTCACCTCACTCCCACAGCAGCCCCCACTCTCTTTTTTACTTATTGCATATTCCTCATTCAATAGATCAGGGGCTGAGGCGGCACTCCAATGGGGCACCCCTGACGGGCGTCCTCTGCCGCCTCTCCATCGGAAGGACCCTGGTTAGAGACTCCCTCCGGCTCCCCCTGAGGGAGGGGTGCCGGTTAACCAAAACCAGTCCCACCCCCACCCCCAACTGGGATTCTAAATCAGGCTTCAACGGTAGCTGCAGCTGGCTTCCGACTGGGGTTCTCTGCTGCACCCAAGCAGAAGTGGGACGTTCAGACAAGCCTGGAAACAAACTGGGTCTGGACCTATTTTAACCTAATCACGGTTAAGTTTGCTGCCTGCGGGCAGGCTGGAAGACGACAACACGCCCACCCTCATCTGAGCAGAACTGGCCCTTTGGCCCTTTCCCTCCGCTCGCAGTGGAGATTCTGGCAGCCTTCCCGCACCCCACTGAGCAGGAGGAGCGCTCGGGGACCTGAGGAGCCAGAGGACGTACCGCGTTGATGCCCGAGAGCTGCTGGGAGAGCTGGAGCGCGATGGCGATGATGATGGCCTGGCGGTAGCTGGGGGAACGGAAGAGCTCGGGGATGGTCACCTTCTTCTCCTGGGACATCTTGGCGCTTTCGTCCTTCATCTCCTGGATATCAGCGGACACATCCAGGGTGCCACGGAGCTTTTGGAGAACTGGTGGGAAGAACCAAGCAGCTCAGGAACACAGGGGAGGAAAGTGCACGACAGAGGCAATGCAGGGCCATTTCCAATTAGAACACACACCCCCGCATGCGCACACATGCGCACACAGAGCATTCATGGGATATTGTGCTCAGCTGAGTGAGAAAGAGAGGCTGGTCCTCGGTCTGCACTCTTAACCACCCCACCTTTAGCTTCAGGATGTGCCAATGCATCTGCTTGTCCCCTCCCTCCCTCACTCCCCAGGGGGGCTCCTCTTTTCCTCTCTGCCCTCTGCATCCAGACTGTGAGCCTTCTGGACAAGGATTTGTCCTTTTGTCTTCAGAGAACTCTGCAAAATGCCCATCTGCCATACTCACCATGTCAGAATGGCAATCAAAGAGTTCGTGTTGAAGGCGGGTCAGAGAAGGGCCAAGGCTCACTGAAAGGGGCTCACTGTGCCAAAAGCCACCAAAAGTGTTCACCTGGAGAAAGTGTCGACTGTCACGGAACAGGTGTGGCAGTGAACACCCAGGACACATTCTGGGTTTTCGACAGCCCCTGTCCTCCTGGAATATGCAGACTAGCGGCCGGTCGGATTCCACTCCCGATGACCTTAGTCGGGCATTACAGGCCTTGGCTGGGTGGCTCAGACTGAGTTGGCTGAAACTAAACCCAGCAAAGACGGAGGTCCTGGGGCTGGGTCGGATCGGTCCGGGGTTAGGGCTCCCTCTCCCGACCTTCAACGGGGCGCCCTTGGTGCCGGAGGTTAGGAGTTTGGGGGTGCTCCTGGACTCCTCGTTAACGATGGAGGCCCAGGTAGCAGCCACTGCCAAGTCGGCATTTTACCATCTTCGGCTGGCACGGCAGTTGGTCCCCTTCCTCGACCGGGTGACCTAGCCACAGTGATCCATGTGACGGTTACCTCGAGGCTAGACTACTGTAATGCTCTCTACATGGGGCTGCCTTTGTCGCAAATTCGGAAGCTGCAACTAGTGCAGAATGCTGCAGCCAGGCTGCTGATGGATCTTCCTAGACGAAATCACATCCGGCCTGTGCTGAAAGCGCTGCACTGGTTGCCAACAGCTTACCGGGTTCGCTTCAAAGTGCTGGTCATTACCTTTAAAGTCCTATATGGTCAGGGACCAGCCTACCTAAGGGACCGCCTTGCCCCACATGTTCCCCCAAGGGCACTACGGTCGGGGAACCAACATCTACTGGATGTTCCAGGCCCCCGTTCTATTAGACTTACCATGACCAGGAATAGGGCGTTCTCGGTGGCGGCTCCTATCTGGTGGAACGAGCTCCCAGAGGAGATCAGGGCTCTGTGGGACCTAGCACAGTTCCGCAGTAGAAACTGTAATTTGGAGATTGGAAATTAGCTGAGAGGAGCACCAAAATCTGTACTGATGGGGTTGTAATTTAATTTTTTGTACTGTTTTACTGTTTTATTCGGCAATATGCCCTGTAAGCCGCCCTGAGCCTCCGGGGAGGGCGGGATAGAAATATGAATAATAAATAAATAAATAAATAATGGAGACGAGGAACCCTTCTCAGGGGTCACACAAAAGAGGGACCAAGCCCGCTTCCAGGCGTCCGCCTGAAGGTGGCATTGGAAAGGGTTACCTGCTCTCGCCTTCTCCTCCTCCATCCTGTTGATCAGCAAGAAGCGCGGACTCTCCGGGCAGAAGGGCAATGCTGCGCACTGCAGGATGGCCGGGAGGACGGTGAAGCCCAGCAGCAGTGGCCAGAGGGCTTCCGTCCCCAGGATGACATTCAAGCCAAAGACCTAAACCGGAACAGATGCAGGAGAGAAAGAGCGGTCACCAACAGCTCCCACGCGGCGGCTTAAAGTGGATCGGGGCATATCCAAAACAAAAACATACTCCAGGATCAAAAAACAACTTTCAGTTTAACATGCAAATGAAGTAGCTTATAAATTCACCTATCTCTGATAAACTTAAGAACTGTATGTAGAGCCGCCCTTCTAAAACCTGTTCTGTACTCTCTCTCTTGCAACTCTGCACCCCCCATTCCCCCCTTGGCCTATCATTCCAACCCACTCCCTCTGCAAGTTGGGGGGTACCACTGAAGAAAGTCAGAAGTATATTGATAATTAATAAGACGGGTTTTTAAGTTCTAAAGCTTTACCTTCCAACAGCCCATGTCTTGCAAAGCTTTTTTAAGCAACAGAAATTGGAGGGGGGGAGCCTCCTTTCCTTCTTGATGCCTCACTGCCTTTGCTTCACCCCCCCCCAACGTTCTGCACCCACTTGCTCACCCATCCTTATGTTCTGGTGTCGGAAAGAGACAGAGCCACTCCTTTTTACCAGCACCTGTGAGCCACAGAGCCACGGATGACTTTGCAGCCACACTGCAAATGAAAGCAGGCTTACCTGTGCCACCAGGATGCCAATGACGACACCCAGCTGGTTCAGGGTGCCAAAAGCCCCTCGCAGAGCAGTGGGAGAGACCTCACTGATGTACATGGGCACAAAGCCCGTGCAGAGACCACAGAAGAGGCCAACGATGAAGCGGCCTACTATGAACATCTCCATCGCCTTTGCCAGTTTAGAAAATCCCATCAGAATACCACCCACGATGACCAGAACGTTCACCATCAGCATTGAATTTCTCCTGCACAGAGAAGAAATCAGGGAGAGTTGTTGTTTTTTAATTAAAGATAACTCGAGGTGTGTGTGTGGGGGGGTTTCTCCCTAAGGGAAAAAATGGAAAATTTGGGGCAGCACTGGGTGGGTGGGGGAACTTCTATGAAATATTATCTTTTAGAGTGGGAAAATGCTTCTTAAAGCAAGGTTTTTCGCACCCAAAATGTATATGATGAAAAAGTGTGGGGACTTTTTAAATTCTTCTGATGGAAAAACAGGGAAGTGTCAAGGCCCTCTGTCAAGTTTCAGGCAGGAAGTCTGACCAGTTCTCACCCAATGCTCTATGGAGTCCTGTGAGCAAAACTTCTACTTTCTGAGCTCCTGGCATTAAAGCTGTGAGTGAGCGATTTGGCTACTGCATAAATTAGTTTGCTCTGGAGCTTTCCTTCCTGAGCTAAGACAAGAATGTGTGAGCCGGAGGCTAAAAAATCTCTGAGCTGGCTCACACTAGCTCACCTTTTAGAGGAGAACAATGTTCTGACCCCGCTGAACACAGGGAGGTGTAGGTCAGTCCACACCTGCTTAGCTGTTTTCTCTGAGCCACACAAAGGAGCAGGGGAGCTCATTTTGGCGCGAGAAGAACAGTAGTGAATTGTGTGCCATGCTTTAGATCCATCTGCCACTCAGCTACCGTCTTTAATGGTGCCAACAACCTGCTGCTTGAGGTGGCCGCCTTATCTTGGTATTGCCACCGAGTAAATCTTCACTTTTGGAAGACGTATCCCCCCTCCCAACACATGTCCCTGCCCTCAGACGCCGTCAAGACGGTGAGTAATTTACCTGCCAAATCGGTTGACAAAAAGTCCAACAGAAAAAGAGCCAATCATCCCTCCTACTGAGAAGATTGCCACAGAGAGAGACCACAGCGATGTCAAGAGGTTGGTGGACATGGGGGCTCCTGTCCGTTCAGCCCACGTCTCGTTGAAGAAGCTCTTTATGATCTGCAGAAGGGGAGGGGGAAATATATTACACAAGCACACACAGGATTAGAACCAGGCACAACACAGATGCACAAAAAGGTGTGGCAGACTGGCCTTCTGAGGGGAAAGTGTTTGTGCATACCCTAAAGGAATGCGGGGGGAGCCCCCCAGAATGAAGATCGTAAGAAGAGGCCTGCTGAATGCCGCCCCAATATGCCCATCTCACCCAGATGCCTGTTCGCCACTGTGGCCAACAACAAGTCCACCACCAAAACCCCAAAGCAGGGTATGGGGGCTAATCGCCAGCAGCAGCAGGAGCACTCCTCCTCACCCAACAAGACTCGCCAGAGGCAGGGGCACGGCTCGTGTCCCAGACCACAGCCTCCACTCACTGGAGGATGAGCCCGAATGGGACTGGCCCAGAAGGAGCCCCATAGGAACTCCCTGGGGATCCTAGGAATTACTTCAGAACCCTCTGCAGCGTGTCCAGGGCACATAAGCCAGTGTTAGAATGTTCCCTGAAGCTGCCACCAGGGCCCTAAACTGATTCTGCTTCCTTCCTTCCTATGGGTTCTTTAAAAAAAAGGGGGGGAGATGCTATCTCCCACATTTTGTCCACTTCAAGGCTGAGAAGTGTGGGAAGACCCATCTGTGGCTGTGTGCCTGGAGGCCTGAGAACCCTGCCAAGAGGAGGGGGCTTGACTGGCTGACAGGGAGGCGTGCTGAGAAGACCACCCCAGCAGAGATGCCTGGCCAGTCCCCACCAGCCTCAAAGTCCAGTCTGCAGGCAGGGCCCAGACAGCGAGACTCGACCCGACAGCTTGAGCCCTGAGGAGATACAACTTGGGTTCTCAGGAAACCACCTATTTTCTGGGAGAGTTTTTGCCCTTTATTTTGAAAATAAAGACATTTTGAAAATGATTTTAGATCTCTATCCCTATTCATTCACTGTAATGATTATAGCTGGTTTGTTGTGTGTGTGTGTGTGTGTGTGTGTGTTTGCCATCAGGTCACAGCAGACTCCTGGTGACCCCACCGGGCTTTCAAGGCAAGTGATGCTCAGAGGCGGTTTGCCGCGGACTGCCTCTGCTTCATGACCCTGGGCTTCCTTGGGGGGGAGGGGGGGTCTCAGGTTTATGTACCAGCCAGGCTGGGATACCCAGGCCAGGGCATCATCATAGTTCAACAAAGGAACATATTGTAATGGGTATTATAATTATTCTTCTGCCTTACAAGCAACAAGGTGTTTGTTCTGCAGCAATCCAAAGCTATAGTGCAAGATAAACAATTAGTTGCAGGGACATGGGCTTGAATTTCTACTACTGTGCATGGGGATGGTCATTATTTTGTACTGTTCAGTCTTGTACAGATGTGTCTCACAAACTGTCCTGTTTGTATTTCATGGCATTTTAAACCTACTATTCACAATTTATAACCACGTGTACCTAAATCTGACGACGGCCTTCCTTCATCTGATGAAGTAAGCTTTAGCCATGAAAGCCCATGCGACGGTAAATCTCTTAACCTGTAGGGTGGCACAAGATCCCTGTGCAGGTTTTGCTATGATTTATTTATCCTTATACGCCGTCTTCCTCCCCAGAGTGGGGCCCAAAGTGGCTGACGTCGCCCTCCTCGCTTCCATGCTATCCTCACAACCCCCCCTCCCCCGGAGCTGGGCTAGGGTGAGAAAGTGTGGACGGCCCCACAATGACCCCGTGACCTTCCGTGGCACGAGTGGGGACTTTGAACACAGGTCTCCCAAATACTAGTCAGACACTGGTAAACACGACACAACACCAGCACATTAACATGGCCTCTCCTCTGCTGGAATTAATGACTTAATGTGTACCAGATCTCACCAGGAGTTTTCAAAAACTGTTTCATTTATACTTATAGAATTTATAGAATTTCTATTCTGACTTTGTACCTAATGACGGCCACCGAGGTGGGCAGGGCCAAGTCCTGGCCGGAAAGGGGGGGAGGCGGATCAAAGCGCCCTTCAGGGGCTATTTACTTTAAGTGAGAGCCAGCCTTGCTTTATGCATTGACATTATCCACAAATCACATTTAAAAATGCTTTATTTCCTATTAAACAAACCTCTGTCATTCTGTGTCTTGCCTGTCGAGTCAAAAACCTAAGCAGCGGGGGCCTCTGTTTACCTGACACATAAGGACAGCCTCGGTCTAGCAGGTTTCCTTTAGGGAGCGCATAACTTACATGCTACTAGTCTTTAATATAAAACTTGTGACCCCTTTCTTGTTTGATTGTGGGTGGTTGGGGCCTAAAGAACCTACAGGAGAGGCCAGAGTGGGGGGGACGGGATATTCTACAGTCCAGAAGCCCCCAGAGCCCCCCCACCCCACAGCCGCCGCCACGCCACACCCGGCTTCTCAGCACCATTCTGCTTCCACAAGGAAAACGTACCCTGCTCGGGGCCACTCTTCACCCACAAAACAGGCAGGGATAAACAGGACTATGTCCCACATTGTATGATAATCTCCAGAAAAGACGGAGCCTTCACCTCCTGATACATCTGTACGGAGGGACTCCAACAACCTCCTTGCCTCCTCTAGGCAACACCACATCGCCCAACCATTCCCACAGGTCACACACTCAATAAGAACATAAGAGATGCCAATGTTGGATCAGGCCAAAGGCCCATCCAGTCCAACACTCTGTTATCACACAGTGGCCAGAAATACCAGTGCCATCAGGAGGTCCACCAGTGGGGCCAGGACATTAGAAGCCCTCCCACTGTTGAAACCCCCCCCCCCAAGCACCAAGGAGACAGAGCATCACTTGCCCCAGAGCCCCTATCTACACCTTGTGGCTAATAGCCACTGATGGACCTCTGCTCCATATGCTTATCTAATTCCCTCTTGAAGCCGTCCATGCTTGTAGCCGCCACCACTTCCTGTGGCAGTGAATTCCAAGTGTTAATCCCTCTTTGGGTGAAGAAGGACTTCCTTTTATCCCCTGGCAAAGGCTCTGTGTCATCATTAATACTTAGCTGTTGGGCAAGTAGAAATAAGTATCTGCCACTGGGGAAATGGCACAAGTTTAACTTCTGCCTGTCACACAGCTGTCAGGTACAGACCTTTGTGAGGGAAATGGAGGCCACTAGGAGTTCCACCTCTCTCTTCTGAGTTTTACCAGAGCAAAGGACTTGTCTGTCCTCTGCAGCCAGTTTCTACTTCTGTCCTTCAATGTTACAACACAAACAGAATATGTACATTTCTCCTCCCTCTCTGTCTTTCACAACACTCCACTCAAACTTTTCATCTCCAAGTCCAAACAGAGCAGATTCTGGAACAACCAGGTCACCTGAAATCCCAGAATGTCCTTGTTGTTTCTCAAGACTCACCTTTTCTGTCTTGCCACACCCTGAGGTCCCCAACAAACCAAGCCTATGTATTGGTAGCCCACACAGGACTCTAACCTGGAGAACCAGATTTGCTTCCCCACTTTTCTGCATGGAGCCAGCTCGGTGACCTTGGGTCAGCCACACTTCTCTCAGCCCCACCTACCCCACGGGGTGTCTGCTGTGGGGGAATGAAGGGAAGGCCATTGTAAGCTGCTCTGAGACTACTTTAGACAGTGAAGGGTGGGGTAAAAACCAACTCCTCCTCCTCTCCTTCTTCTTCTTCGCCTCAAGGCTGACCTCACTTCCTCAGGAAAAGTGACTGGTCTCCCCATGGAACAGCTCCAGTGGCACCATCATCGCCCTCAACTTCCCTCTGTCTTACCTCCTCGGGCGCATTGATGACTCCGGTGTTGTAGCCATACTGGAGGGATCCAATGACAGCCACAAACACAGCACACACAAGGGAACAGGTTATCTTCTGCGGGACAAAATGAAGGGCCGATCAGTTCAGTTACACTCCCCCAAATATTTATGTTTACTATGTAAAGAAAGCCTTCCCAAAAAAATCAAAAACAAGCATGACAGATCACCTCCCAGACTCTCTCCTTGGGGAGGAATGCACATGCTTCTACCCCTCCCAAGAAATAGAAATCAAAACAATATTTTAGGCTGCCTATGAGCTAGAGGCAGCTGGGGATTTCAGTCGACATGAGGGCACTCCCGCTCTCCGTTGAGCCGCAGGCCTTGCTGAACACGCAGGGCTGCGGGGGGCAACAAAGAATTCTACTGGGTTTGACACTCTGTGGACGACTGTCCAACAGCTAAATCCCCCCCTAACAAGAGCATCTATATAGCCCTTTCCTCTTCACTACACTTACATGTCTCATCCTACAAAATCCCCTCATCTACCCATGTGCCTCCATGACTCCAGTCAGAAGGGGTTCTAGAATGGCTCAAGAATGGCAAACCAAAAGACTCAGCCACACTAGAGTGCACCAGCCCCTCAAGAGCACTCAGGAAGCTGCTCTAGACTTGTGTTGATGATGCCGGGCGAGTCCAATGTTCCCTCTAAGCTGCGGAGTCTTGTGAGCAAAAATTCTGCTTTGTGAGCTCCTGGCATAAAAGTTGTGAGCAAGCGATTTGGCTACTGCATAAATCAGTTTGCTCTGGAGCCCTCCTCCCTGAGCTGAGACAAAAATCTGTGAGCCGGAGGCAAAAAAACTGTGAGCTAACTCACACTGACTCAGCTTAGAGGGAACACTGCCGGCGACTGACAACCAAGGGGAAAACGGCGGTTGCTAGATTACAGCGACTGGACCAGGCACGGCTGCATATCAAGAAACGTCCAGTGGCTCCTTCAAGAAGGACGGTTTCTTTGTATTACACAGCCTGAGTTTTCAGAGGCTACAAGCTACTTTATCAGAGGCCAGCAGGACTGAGAGCTGCAAGTCAGGAAATGAGCTGGGGGAATGTTTGTGCAAGAAGGCCAGAAGGGACATTTGCTGCTAAGCAGGGTGCCCATATGGGGAAATCACAACGCCTGTCATGTGAGAAGGAGCCTCCTCCCTCCTCGGGCTTTGACTGACACACTCCAATTTCCAAGTCAATCCTTGGCGATACCTTAGACCCAGGCGTCTGAGAGGACCACTCCGAGGCCTCTAGGAGAATGACACAGGAGAGTTAAGATGCTCACCCACAGACTTCCTGGAAGTTTTGTTCTGCTAGATTTATGGGATTCAGCCCTGCCTGCCCACCATATATTTTCCAGATGATATATATGTCTATAGTGCGACGGGGGGGGGTTAGTGCTCCCCAAGATTTCACCATTCTGTTTCATTGAAAAAACTCTCAGACACTTCCATGCTATATATTTTGTAGCATGGAATATGCATACTAGATGGGAGATACACTTCTGGGTAGCAATGTGTGTGTACAAGATCTTGGGGTACGAGGTGACTATAAGTTAAATATGAGCAGCCAGTGTGATATGTCAACAAAAAAGGCTAACGCAATCTTGGGGTGTATCAACACAGCCATAACATCCTTAAGCCAGTTCCCCGGCAAGGCGGAATATAAATTGAAAATAATAAATAAATAAATCACAAGATGTCATAGTCCCTCTGAATACTGCCTTGGTTAGGCCGCACCTGGAGTCTTGTGTGCAGTTCTGGAGGCCTCACTTCAAAAAGGATGTGGACAGAAAGGAGCATGTGCAGAGGACAATGACGAGGATGATCAGGGGCCTGGAGTCCAAGCCCTATGAGGAAAGGCTGAGGGACTTGGGAATGTTCAGTCTTGAGAAGAGGAAGGTGAGGTGGGGACATGACTGCTCTCTTTTAAGTATTTGAGGGGCTGTCACTTGGAGGAGGGCAGGGAGCTGTTCCTGTTGGCAGCAGAGGAGAGGACTTGTAAGAAAGGGTTTCAAGTAAGGGCGGGAAGGTACCGGATGGATATGAGGAAAACGTGTTTGACAGTAAGTGTTGTGCGACAGTGGAATGGGCTGCCTGGGGAGGTGGTGAGCTCCCCCTCCCTGGCAGTCTTGAAGCAGCGGCTGGACAAACACTTGTCAGGGATGCTCAAGGCTGATCTTGCATTGAGCAGGGGGTTGGGCTAGATGGCTTGCAGGATTCCTTCCAACTGTGATTCTATGAATGCAAAAACCTTTGTCACATTCCACTAATTCTAAACGAGAAAATAGTTCATTTGAGCTTTTTCAGTGCTCCCCCAAATTTTTCAATATTGCCACTGGTAAAAATGGGGGGAGCCCTCAGGGAAAAGCATGGGAAATCCCCCCCAAAAAAATTCTCCAGTCTCCCCCTAGGCCTCCCCGTCTCCAGTCCTGCACCTTGATGCAGTCCCATGACTGCTCTTCCTCTGTAGCCACTTGGGGGGGGGGGGCACTGCTGGAATGCTGCCACAGCTTGGCTACCCACTGAGCAGCACTGCTTAATGTCATGCATGTGTATTTATTCAGCGTGATTTTAGACCACTTTTCAACCAAAAGGTCCTCAGGACAGTTCAGAACATCTTAGCACATAAACCATCCATCATAAGCCCACATAAGAGAGCCCGGAAATGCTGTGGAAAATACAGGCGAGGAAACTGCATGGTCAGCAGCAAGCACCACCTCCCGCGGGGCTCACCCGAAGCCGAGGCCCACCAAGAAAGAGAGAGAGGTCTTCGATGTAACCTGGGAGGCCACCAGGGTGGGCACCACGCAGAGCCAGCAGAAAGGCTGGAGGGGCTGAGCACCAGCAACCCCAAGAGGAAAGGCACCACCGCACGGATCTCTGGCCCCAGGGAGGGTGGACAAGGGCACCGGCATGAGCTTCACGGTCAGACCCAGGCCAGCACCTTGAAGTGAGCTGGAGACAAATCAGGAGCCAGGACCACTGGGACAGGACCCCTCGCCCCAGCCGGTGGGGAAGCTGGCTACTGGCTACTGGTCTGTAATGGTCAAAGCCTTTGTCATCAAAGGATGAGTTGCACATTTATTTATTCGTTGAGCACCTCTGCAGGCTGCCTTTCCACCCAAAAGATGACGTGAAAAGAATCAACCCGTTTCTGAACAAGTGAACCTAGCCCAAGGGCAGAAACATGCAGAGCTCCCCATCACAGTCCAGTCTGAAGGCCTTCCAAGACCTACCAAGGATCAACCTCTTGCCTCAGCCTACGGGGTCGGGCCCCAGACCTGCCGCCTCCTGCATCTTATCGCCTGTGCCGGGGCCAGGCCTTCTGCCGGGGAAGCCAGCGGCGGGGAGAAGGAGGCTGCCGTTCAGCGCACAGACGCCCCCTCACCAACCGCTGAAGCCGTCTTCACAGACAACCAGGCGCAATGGGTCAGGCGCCCCCCCCCCCACAGGGCCAGGACCCACGGGGCTGGAGGGAGGCCCCGGAACAACGAGGTGCTGCCCTACCGGGGGGTGGGGGGGGGAGGCGCTTTTCAGCTTTCCCTCCTAGGGGGGCACCGCTGCGCCTTGTTCTGGAGCGGCAGATCAGGGGTGAGAGCGGATCTGTGCAACGGGGG